TTCTGACCTAAGACTCTGTGATTCCAGTTCTCACCTGCTACAGATGTGGTCACTTAGAGGATCAAGGCCAAAACAAAACAAACAATGGCCCAAATGTCCTGAATGTATGAAGAAAATACCTTATGAAAAGGTGTTCTTTGAGTAAATAGCTAAAGTAGATTTTAAATGATTATTTTCAAGCCATTAACCAAAAATAAATGAGAAGGAAAGAACAGAGCAGTTTCAAGGAATCACTGCTAAATCTGAAGTCCAGCCACACATGACATCTGGTGTCAGAAAGAATGAAACCCACAAGTTTCTCAAATACATGAATTCTTTTGAGGTAGATTATTAAAATATGTGGATTTCATTAAAAGTCATGGAGTTCAGAAGCTTTCTTAAATCACAAGGTTTTATGCTCTCAATTCCCCCAGCTAACATCAGTCACTAGATTCAAATTTTCAATACTTTCAGAAAAAGACAGCTGAAGGTTACCTTAGATCCTGCTACAAGAAAAACACAAGCACTGTCAAATTGGCAATAATCCAGATTATCATCCATTCCTCTTTCAGAGTCCCTGTATTTTAACCAGTTTTCTGTTTTATAAATACTGCCATGGCTCAACACATCTCCTAAGAGACACAATATTACCCACGGTTTCTCATCCTGTTTGCTAACTAATTATATCAACAACCTGAACCAACTTAACACTATACAAAAACACAGCTGATTTAGCAATCTGTAAATTATACATGTACATAAATCTGTACCAAAATGTGTTGCACTTCATTCCTGTTAATATGCATGGGTTTGTCTGTTTTTTACTGGCACCTACAATTGTTTGATATAGGTTCCCAAACACTAAAACATATGTTCTGTCTAGAATGGGACCATTTAGAGGAATATTTTTTGTAGCTTCCTGGCACCAAGGTCTGCTAACCTTCCTAAGAAAGATCTATTTACTTCAGTAAGCATTCTGATAAGTGTCCACAGATTTAAGCCACCATCAAAAACTATTCTGGAACAACATTTTCCAAACATTAATATAAAGAAAAACAGGCTGGCTTTGCCTATGATCACTGATATGGTCATAAGCAAAATCAATCAAATGTGAGATATTACTTATTTCTCCTGACTACTTCCAACAAGCTAAAAAAAAAAATCAGATAACTATCAAATCTTTCCTTCAAGTGGTACTCAAATGTACCAAAGGAAGGTAAAATAGATTGTAGCACCAGCAAGACCAGTGAACCTCTTTAAAATGGTTCTTAAATACATTGACAGGCCTAAGTAACAGTTGCAGCAAGTCAACACTATAGAATAGGAGAAAGAACTTTGTACCAAGATTCACTAGAATGTGACGCTGAGTACAGTCAGTTTCTTGGTTTCTACTATATCCCCAGTGTTTGACTAAGATGGTCAGTTAAGACCAGGTGCCATGGCTCACACCTCTAATCCCAGCTACTCAGGAGGCAAAGATAGGAGGATGATGGTTCAAGGTCAGCCAAGCAAAAAGTTAGTGAGACCCTATCTCAAAGAACAAGCTGGGTGGTAGTGCACGTCTGAAATCCCAGCTACTTAGGAGGTGGAGATAGGAGAATGGTGGTCCAAGGCTGGCCCCAGGCAAAAGTAAGAGACCCTATCTGAAAAACAAAGCAAAAAGGGCTGAGGGTATGACTCAAGTGGTAAAGTTCTTGCCTAGAAAACACAAGGCCCTGAGTTCAAAACCCCAGAACTGCCAAAACAAAAAAGAAAATGTGTTCAGCAAATCTTTGTTGTACAAATAAGCCAGTCTCAACCTCTGACAAGTCCCTGATTCACCTCTAACTGCCTTTTTCTAACTCTGCCTCTTCTAATCACTTAACCTTAGTTTTGTCAGTTCCTAAACTCTACAATGGAGACACTACACCTTTTCTGCTGGCTACTGAGAATTGAAGGTGATAGTCTGTGAAAGTGACTTGGAACTCCATGAGAGAGCACACAGATGTGGAGAGCTCCATATCCTGCCCTGGCCTTCTGCTAAATCACTGGCAACAGTGAAAATCCTGACTTCATTCAAATATAATTGGCCTTTCCTTTGCCCTATTATTCTGTTTGGATACCATAGCACGGCTGCTGGCCAAAATGGATATTGCTCTTGTTGTTATAACATTTTATTTCGTCTCCATTGGGAAATTATGTTTCTTGGGAGAAAACAATGGTAAGACAAGGAATGTTGTTGCATGGTGCCCTGTGAAGAACATGACACTGGAACCAGCAACGGATAAACTTGGGGCCTTATCCGTTCTGCCCTTTCATATTTCAGGAAGGTTGCTTGCATCCATTTCCTTATCTAGTCAATGAGTCTACATAGTATCTAAGATCCATCTCACCCTACAGTTTTGTGATATTCCAGACAGTGAATATTCTAATCACCCCAAACAAGATTGATTCTAATCCATTATCATATAATCTGAGTAGCTTTTTAGGGATGATGAAAACAGTTCCATGGACCAACACCTATGGGGTGGAGAAACAATGATAGTATAAGAAGGATCTGTGAGGGCTGGGAATGTAGCTTAGTGGTAAAGTGCTTGCCTAGCAAGCACAGGGCTCTGAGCTTGATCTCCAGCACCACTAAAAGGAGAGAAAGAAGGATGTATGATGGCCTCTAAAGAACACTGGTCTCAGGCACTGTCTGCTCTGCCACTTTGAATTAGTGGCTTAGTATTGCTTGGACTCAGTTTTCTGATCTGTAAAAGAGGAACAGTAAGAGCACACAGAGCCACTGGAATAAAATACCTAATAAAATGATTCTGAGGTATTGCTATTTAAAGGTAAAATGCTATTTAAATGCTGTAATGTCCAAAAATAGGCTGGTGGATTTTAGGAGAAAACAATCAATATTTTTAAATAGACTTTTTCCATCACAGTAGAATACAATGCATGAAGACATTGTGATTTTTCTTAGAGTTCACACTTTTTGTCCATTCATGTTCAAGTAATATTACAAAAAGGACCCCTAAAAATATGAATCCCACATCTTAAGATCAGCATTTTTCCTTCTGAAATAATGAAAGTTCATCCAACTCACCCAAGATGTTTTATGTCGTTGATATCATTTGGTTGGTTAATTGAAATCAAGCTGTTGGAACTGGTACCAAGATGAAAATGTCAGTGCTAAAAATATTCCCATTATTCTATTGACATTCTATGTATGCTTACCCATGGAAGTGGCTCTAAGATCAGCCAAGCTAGAAGGTATTCTCCCTTCTTAGCTCCAGTATTCTCAAGGTCCTCCCCAAAACCCAAGGAGCTCTAGGACATTTGCTACAGCATGTCATAGGACTCCTTCTACTCACAACCTACAGTATACGTTACACACAGGGCTTCCCCTCAAACTTAAAAAATACTGCCTGTCCACCAAAAGATGAAGTTGTCATTGATAATTATATGAAAGTTGATATCCCTGATGATGGGATCCCCAAATCTGTAAGGCCATAACAACAGCAAGGCAACTCGTAAAAAAAATAATTTTATTTTAAAATCCATGAATACCTCCAGCTTTTCACGGAAGAAGAGTTCATTGTGGCTGTTCATTTAGTAATTATCACTCCCTTGTGTCCCCAGGTAATGACTGTGACCTTGCTCTAAAGGTCAAGGGAGAGGTGATTGACCAGAAACACTCTTTAACACTCTTATTCTTAAGAGGCACATGATAAAGAAGGGATTGTTTCTAAGAGAGCTCTTGCTGTCCTGGTTGGTAGGTTTTTTTCTTATAAACTTAAACCACTTGAGTTAAAGAGTATTTATTAGTGGCAGAAGTCACTTTTCATGCCCTTTCCCTAAACCCCTCACTAAAACCCAATGGAAGCTCTTCCTTTTCGACACAAGCTTTTAAGGATAGAAACAATGATATTTACACTTGATCAAAACCCATTTCTTGAATTAGCTCCTACAGCCTCGTGGTACCAGAAGGTCGTCTGCTTCTGGAGGTGGAGGGGTCCAGGAGCCTGCAAAGAGCATCTTAGGTTTGGGAGTATTTGATGAACAGGTGTATTCTGAGCCTTCCAAAGCCCAACATTGCTCGACAGTGCTGTAGTCCAGGTCTCTCTGCTGTGGATTCAAAAAGCGTTTGAAATTAAATTGTTCCTTCTCCATCCCTGCGCCCAGGACTCTCAACTCCCATAGCTGCGTGCTGCTGTCCATCTTAACTACTGAGAAACAGAGTGCCGAGTACAGGTTTTATCTGGTAATGGATTGATTGATAGGTTTGGTGCGTTTGGGAATTTATAGGTGAGCTAGACTTAAGAACGGCATAAAACATTTTTGTGGCTCTAGGAGAGAAGATACATGTCAGATTTGCACTTGTGGCCATTTATCCCACTCTGTACCTGTGCCCTCCACTCCCCACTTGAGATCAAGAGAGGCGTCCGACCCTCATGAGCCCTAACCTCTAAGGCGGTGGACAGGCGAAGAGGTGGAATCAAGCAGCCCAGCCACAAGCACGTCCCTAAGTCCCCACATCTTTACACTTTCCAGCTTCAGTGATGGAAGGTGGAGACGGCCGCATTCTCCCAGCCAGAGGGGACCGGGACCTGGAGTGGCCTGTCTGCTGCTGGCTCTCCCGGGGTACAGGAGGCGTCTCGGGGAGCAGCCAGGGAGCCCCGGGATCCCTCGCGGAGCGGTGGACAGTGCCGGCCGGGGGAGCGCTACTGCTCCACTCCGACCAGCTCCTGTCACTTTTCCCAGTACTTTCAGCTGTCACGCTGTCTTGGAGATGACACCGAGAGGGCGCGAAAAGGGCCCAAAAAGGCGTCCCCTAGAGCTCTCCCCTCTTGGAATGGGGGCGCATCAAACCCCTCCCGATCCTGCCCACCTTCCCCTGCCTCGGGGACACAGCCCTGGGCGCCAGCCCCGCTGCTCCGAGCAGAGCTCCGGGATTCTGCTGCATCTGCTGGCACCAAGCAACGGGAGGCGTCTACAATAAAGGCATGGATTTTTAAAAATCTGGATAACCGAAATCCGAATGCACCTCTTACCATTGGACCGCCGGACAATATTCTCCAGAAACGTGTTTTGCGGGGCCACCAGTCCCCTTCTGCCCCCGGCCATGGTCATCCTCCTGACAGCTCGGGGTCTGGGAGGCGTCCCGGGGCGGCTTCTCACCGCAGCAGGCAGCTGGGCGCGCAGCCCGCGTGCGTTCCCGGCTCCGAGCGCCCCATGCGCCCCACGGGGCACGGGAGGGCAAGGGCGGCGGCTCTCTCCGGCTGCCACCGTCGCGCCCGGGCCGTACCTCCCTTCCTGCGGCCCGCCTGGCAGTGCACTCGTGCGGGGCTCGGCTCGCTGCAGCCGCCTCCGGGTGGGCGGAGGGAGCCGTGCGCCTGGATCCACGGCGCCCCCTACCGGGCGCGCGTCCCCAGCCCGCCTGCGGGAGACCAAGCCGCCGTCGCCCGCCGCAGCCCGGGGTGGGGGGTAGGGGGAAGAAGGGAGGGTGGTGGGTGTCAAGGCTGAGACCGCAGCGGCACCCTCTGAGCACAGCTGAGAAATGTGTCCAGGCTGCGTATGGGGCTGCGTGGAGACGAAAGGACATTGTCATCAACTTTCTTGATGAATCGCCCCTACATTGCGCCCCACAAGGTCAGTAAAAGTCAGGTGAGCATCTGAGGCTCTGGGAACACCTTCCCACCCTCGCGTGGGGTTTGTTAGCTTGATTAGTGACGGTGCCCCGCCTGGATTCTAAAGCCAATATTTCCCAGTCATCAATGAAGTTGTATTGTAAGAAGGGCGACTCGCAGAGTGACTGACAGATTCAGCTCCAGAGGAGGTGTTTCAGGTTGTCTTTACCATCGGCACACACGCGGCCTCCTCATTTGACAAGTTTCTTCACCACCTTGGTGTCCACTCTTATCTGGCAAATATTTTACCAAAAGACCAAGAAAATGCATGAGTAAATACATAACGTTTTTTAAGCTAAAGCACACCTCGTTTGACCAGTGTGTAAGATTAGGAAACAGGAACAAATTGCCTGACAAACATCAAAACAGTGGACTTGCCTCTGAGGGCAGATGTTTAGGAGCTTAGCTTCCCTTACATTCATCATTAATTAACTAGCCATAGCCTTGACTTGAAGGGCCTTCCGCAGTGCACAGGGTGGGAAGGTGCGAGTTTTCACACCTGCCCGCTTGTAGAAATCACATATGCCGAAGATTTCTGGATGGAGCCAAAACAATCCTCCCTATTTCACTTATTTGGGAGAGATTTCTAGCTGCACATACTCTGTACCTGTCTTTTTACTAGGTAAAGACATAGTCTCCTGTCTATGGGACCATGACTGTGCCCCACAGAACGGATGAGTAGTTAATTTCAGACTGGGTCAAGAGTCAACACCAAAATGTAAGAACAAAACTGACCCAGGACCTTAGATAGTCTGGGTTTGCCATCCTGACACACCCTAATGTACTGCAAAGTCACCCTGTTTCAGTTTACTAATCTCAAAATCAGAATGGATTCCTTCCCAGAAATCTCTCAGAATTGTAAAGAGCAAAGGAAATTATGGAGGGGACAGCACTCGAAATTTTAAAATGCTATACAAAGGTCAGATGTCATCATTGGAATGATTAATAAATTGATCCATTACGGATATCATCCTTCATCTACTTGCGTGGACACAAACTGAGCAGCTAGCTGCTGTTAGCAGGGTTGGAGAGGCTGGCACAGGCTTTGAAATAAAAGTGATGCTACACTTCCATAGGGTAGCATTCTACTCATCCTGTCAGGCGCGCAGCTTAAGAGCTGTGATTTCTTAAACCCTAGCTCCGTCTAGTGGTCCTTTGTTCTATTACAAATGAGATAACGGTTGAAGAGAACTTGACTCTGAAGTGTATTTGGTGCTAAGATGAGCTGATCTGGTGCCTCCCCACTTTGAAGAGTAGGAAGAGGAACAATCATAAAATTAATTTGAAAAATTGAAATTTTAATAAGCCCCCATGTTCATGTTTAGATAAACGTTTATGTTTGGATAAACAGGAAACTGATGAAATTCATTTGATGTGAGAGAGGTGAAAAGCTTGGTACATTACCTGATAAGCAAAATGAACCAAGAGATACCTTCCATTATAAATGCACAACTGCTGTGGTTCTCAACGTGGACTCTGTGTGTTTTCCTTTTTGAGTACTATAATTTTAATGACACACTCAAAAAAGATAAAACACCTACAACTACACTATAATATCATCAGTCTAAACAGCGTGACAGTGTCTCATGGTATATGAAAGCATATTCTTCCACACATTGGCTAGAGAACTCAGAACTTCTGGACTGTAGGAATAGAATCACATTCTTCCTTGCCCACATTCTCACTGAGATTTACAGGCAAATGTTGCATGTTCCAGCTATCATTCTATCTTTCCTAGGACTGATTTGACAGGTCACAGTGTTTCTCATCTCTTACTTGTCACCTGTTGTTCCCTCCTCTACACTCATTTTCAGCACCTGCTCAACTCTAAGTTCTGACTGAGATCTCTCACTGTAATATAGGACTTTCAGAACAGACTTTCATCTTATGAACTTGCCAACATTTGGTAACATGTTTGTAAAGGATTCACAATACATCTTGGTCAACCAGTAGCCCCCAAACAAAGACTCTTTTCATTTAAAGAGACAACTATAAACAGCTCACCAGAGTTCCAGCTGAACTGCTTTTTTCCTTCCCTGAATAATGTGAACTATCTCTGCCTAGAACTTCTATTGAAAAGATCCTGAGTCTGCAAGAAAAGCTCCAGAGATTGTCCTCCCGTGTTTCTGTGCTCCCCTTCCTTGTAGTAGTTATTCTCCTGTACTCCCTCAGCATCTTACTCACCCCTCAGTATAACACATGTTTATGCTACAGAGAGAAGACAGGGATGGAGGTCTGCAGATTAACTGGAAAAAGAGGGAAATGGCAGAAAAACATCTCTGCCCAGCAACAATGACAACAAAAATCTGTCACAAAAAAGACAATGCCAAGCACCAGTGGGAGGAAGTGGCACCATGCAAAGACAGGAGATACATTTTTTTCCTTTTATTAAGACCATGAGATATAGGTGACAGAGTTTAGAAAAACAAGAATCTTTCAGACATAGGAGAGCTGCCTATGAGTCCTGGAAGACAGGGACGAGAAAGGGTAGGCCAGTACTTCATTCTCATCAGCAAAAAAAGCAGAGGGAAACTTGAACACAGTGGAGATTTCATTACTTAATCACTAGGTGTGAAACAGCTAAAGGTAGAGGAATTCCCAGCATGGGAAATTTCAGTTTCTAAACCTAATGACTGACATATATTTGTTACTTGTTCTTTTTATTAGCAAAACTTCTATTTTAATAGGCTTATGGAAAAATGTCCAGCAGGCTGTATCCACTGGAAACCTCCATTTTGCATTACAGATGCCTTCCCCCAAATTCTAGGGAAAGGGAAAGAATCTCCCTCCATCAGAATTCTAGCCTTTGAGTTTAAAAACAGAGGAAAAAGATGCATTGACATGCATTGTAACCCAGTTGTAGCTAACCCAACAAACACTTTTAAGTTTTTTGTGAAATTGGGTTATAGCCTTCTAAGTGCCAAAAGCAATTATCCCCTTTCTCATTTCCTATTATCAAAAGAGAAAATGAATCAAAAGAGAAATGAATCCTTCTCCAATGAAAAATAATTAAAAGTTATTTACAGGCATCTCTTACTATTATTAAAAAACATCTGTACAGTCTAACTTGCACCAGACACTATAGGTTCTGAGGGAAAAAATGGTTGTGATTCACATCTGCCCTCAAGAAACTCAACAAATATTTAATGAATGCTTATGTCCTTTGTACCCCCAACCCCTCTCCATTCAGATACGTTCTGTCTCTCCGTTGTGCTCTCTAAATCTTGCTAGCTTGCTTTTTTGTAAATAAACTATAGTTCAACTTGATCTTCTCACTGGAAACTTTCTTGCCTCCACTTAAATGAGAGTTGCTTCTTTCTTGAGATCTTTGAGTCCTTTTAAATATATATATTCTTCCTTGGTTCATATGCCTACAGGCCAGAAGTTGAGGTGAGAATTCATTTGTTTCCTCATTGACATATCCAAATCATTATTCTTCTTATTCATGCAAAATTTCTCCTACATTGATGTTCATGGTCAATAACAATGTCACTCTACTTCCCTTCACGTCTTAAAATAGAGTTGGAGGAAATTGTATTCGGTTTTACAAAGGTTTGTGCCTGAGAGATGTTGCAGAAAAACATCAGGTAACCATTTGGATAGACAGCTCTAGAACTCAACAGACGCTTCTGTGTGGAGTCAGAGATTAGAAATCACCAGTTTATAGCTTTCAAAAGAGATTGAGAAAGGGCAGTTCAGAAATGGGGAGAACTCAGAGAAGTGGTTTTGTAGAAGCTTAGAATGAGAAGAGTGAAGACCAAAACTGTGTGTTGTCTACCGTAAAGATCAATGCTGGAAAAAATACCCATTGGAGCTAGTAACTATTGGAACACTTAAGACCATAGCAGAAACATTTTCTATGGAATGGAGTAGTCAAATTACAATGGGCTGAAAGGTAAAGTAAAAACATACAAATAAGATAGCAGACTGAACTAAGGTGCAGTTGAGTACTGCTTTTCTTCCCGAAACATATAGAAATGAAGTTTCATTACTTTTAAATGTGTTTTTAATATGTCTCCAAAGCCAAAAGGGAAATTCCAAATGTCAAAAATGAGGAGTCCAAAGCAGTTATGGGAATCAGTGATGGTGGTGATAAGGGACAGGGAGGACCCAAAAAGAAACAGTGTTGTGATTGATGTGGTAATGTGGGCCCCAGACATAGTAAAGAAACTGGTACTGGATCCCTGATGGACCAGGAGCCAGGAAAATTAGGGCCTCTCAGTAGAGCCAGAATAGGAGTAGAAATAGTTAACCTTCAGGAATCAGATTAGTCAAATCAAAAAAAGTTTTACACCACTAACAACAAGTGTTGGCAAGGATGTGGGGAAAAAGGAACCCTTGCTGGTGGGAATGCAAACTAGTGCAACCACTCTGGAAAAAAAATTGGAGGCTTCTTAAAAATCTAAACATAGATCTGCCATATGATCCAGAAATCCCACTCCTGGGGATATACCCAAAGGAATGCAACTCAGGTTACTCCAGAGGCACCTGCACACCCATGTTTATTGCAGCGCTATTCACAATAGCCAAGTTATGGAAACAGCCAAGATGCCCCACCACTGACGAATGGATTAAGAAA